TCCTTTTGCAGCTTCTCTGTGAGTTTCTTGAAGGACGGGCGCTTGCCTGGCTCCATCTCCCAGCAGCTCTTCATCAGGGCATAGACGGTGGGCGGGCAGCCCTCGGGGGGGTCCATGCGGTACCCCTGCTCCAGCAGCTCTGTCACCTCCTTCAGGGTCTGGCAGGATGGAGAAGCTGGCTGGGACCCCCTGCCCTGCCCTGGCCAGGGGACAGTGGGATGTCCCCATCCCATTGGTGCCAGCGGGGTGTGACCTGTGGTATCCCCTGGCACAGCACTCACCATCTTGGGGTAAGGTGCCCGTCCGAAGGAGAAGGTTTCCCACAGGAGGATCCCGTAGCTCCACACATCCGACTTGGAGGAGAATTTCTGTGGTGGCAGGAAGGGGGGAGGCTGAGCCCAGCCAGGGGCTGTGCTGGGTCCCCACTGTTTCCCGAGGGCAGGACAGGGGACAGTGCCTGTCCCTTGCTGCCCCAGCTCCCCAGGGTGTGACCACCCCCCCCCCGTTCCTGTCATCTTGTCAGATCCCACTGGAGCTGCCCCAGTTCCTGCTGCACCCCAGGGCAAGGGCTGGTCAGGACAGAGGCAGAATTCTGGGAGATGCAGAGCTGACCGTGTCAGAAGCCACTGTGAGGCAGGGATGGGTTGGCAGGCAGGGGAAGGAGCAGGGGGGACCTAAGAGGGTGAGATGTCTTGGAAGGACCCTGTGGCCCCCCTTCCTTCCCACTGTTGCTCACGTTTTGTTTCAGGGCCTCTGGCGCCGTCCACTTCACAGGGAGCAACGTGGTGCCCGCGCCCTTGGGGTTGACCTGGGCCAAGCCAAAGTCACTCACTTTGGCCACGTTCTCCTCGGAGATGAGGATGTTGCGGGCAGCCAGGTCCCGGTGCACCAGCTTCTTGGACTCCAGGTAGTCCATGCCCTGAGCCACATCCCTGCCACAGCCGAGTGAGACAGAGCCGTGTCACCAGGTGTCCCCGGGCTTGTCCTGAGGGATGCAGAGCAGTCCCCAGCCCGGAGGGAGGGAGATGGACTTACAGAGCGAACAGGAGGAGCTGCTGGGTCGGGACGAGCGCCCGGCCCCGCGTGCGCAGGAAGTTCACCAGGTTGCCCTGACAGAGGAGGATAAATGAATAAGGACCAACAGGATGGGGCTGCTGGGAGACTTTACCCCTTGCAGAGGCTGCAGTGCCCAGCATCCATACGATTCAGCCCCTAAACAGGAGTTTTGTCCCCAAATCTGAGCAGTGATGGGTCCCGCTGGCTGAAGAGCAGCCGGGTGCTCTCACCTTGCTCATGAACTCCATGACAATGTAGAGCCCGTTGTGCAGGATCACGCCCAGCAAGCACACCAGGTTTCGGTGCTGGACCTTCCTGGAATGGAGAGGATCTGAGTCAAGGGGTTTCCTGCTCATCCCCAGGCCACGGGGCAGGGCTGGGTCATACAACAATGGGGCTCTCACGTCATGGCAGCCGTCTCAGCCAGGAAGGCCTGGGCGGTCACATCGCACTTGATGTTCTTCACAGCCACCTTCTGCCCCATGTACTCGCCCTGCAGGACATCTGGGAGGGGATGGGGGATCAGGCTGAGCCCCACACCTGACCTTCTGCACCCCTGGCTGAGCCCCTCATGCCGTGGGACGGGGAGGGGTGTCAGGGAGTGCCATCTGGGGATACTCCCAGCCAGAGACCCTCCAACCCCATCCTCTCACCTACCTCCAAACTCGCCTTTCCCAATGCAGTCTCCCAGTGTGAGGTGCTTCAGGTTCAGCAACCACCCAGCTGGGCACAGGCACAAGGGCAGGTTAGCAGGGACCACCAGCGGGGCCGTGTTGCCTTGTCCCCAAAACTTGGACTATGACTCTCTCCCCTACCTTTGGCCAACTCCTTCTCAGCCGACTTCATCCCTGTTTTTGGTTTGGGCTTCACCAGCTTGGTGCAGATGGCTCCCTGCTCCTTCATGTAGTGCTGCCAAGAGATGAACAGATGCCAGCTCTTACCCTCATGCTTGGGGTATGAATCCAGGGAACAGCTCTGGGATGGCCC